TGAGTGTGAAACTACCAAAATGCAAGGCTAATGTGAGCATGGGATTTATAATACTGGCCTGAGTCAAGTAAGTAGCAAGCTGTAGCAGGCCCAGTGTGACATTAGCGAAGTTGATTAATCAATGTATTTTAGATTTTGCCCCATTGCTAGTGAATTTCTCCTCTGAGATCCTTATCAGAAAACTGCATGTTAGTGATGTTGAGAAGTATTTGTTTGACTAAATAACAAACTGCAAACTAAATCCACAAGATGAACTTAAGGGAGAGGAAAGATTTGGAAGCAGTGGAATATTATTCATTAGGTCTATTGATATAAAAGCTGCGCATGTTTCAGACACACAGACCCTTCTTCAGCTTTCTTCAGTCTGTTTGTTCAAATTGTAGTTGATCTAAAGCAAGGTATTTCTCTGTGCAGATCTTGCTTTCTAGTATTCTTAGACTACCTTGGGTAAACTGGATTTAAGTAAAAAATTAAGGTACCAGAAAATATGACCACATACAAAAGTAAATTGGAGTAAGGCAACATAAACTCCTGATGTTTTCCCTTGTCTATTATACAAGCAATTTCAAGTAGGATGAAGAATATCTAACTTTTAGGAGACTAACTAACTTTTTACATCTGAGTTTGGCCCTGAACCAAGCCTAAATTCACTATTGCCTTTGTATTGTGTATGACAAATATCTTGATTACAAGTAACAATCAAAGTCTTCTACAGTTAAATACTGAAAATAATTGCAAAGACCTACTTCAACATAACATAAGAGGGTGACAGGATAGCAATATGGGTCCATATATATACAGGTCTGAGTATCCTACACACATCTGCTTAATGATGGTAAGTAACGAAATACACACTGATGAACCCCTCCTGTTTTCTGTGCCATTGTTAGTCAGTGACACAGGACGAGACCTTACAGGGTAAAAGGGATTTTAAGGGCTAGCGACCTCCCTGGCCAATCTCCAGGGTCAAGGGGGAAGAAAGGAGAGAGATGTTCATAGCAGAAGACTACACACAGGCAGATTAAGCTAATTTTAGTTGAATGTGTTGTGTGGATGACAACTTGAAAAGGGGTGATGGGTGAGAACTGTGAAAAGATTTGAAGATAAGGGCCAGTAGTTTAACCTGATATTGCTGAACGGCATTTAGCGGAGGGAATCAGAGAAGCCTGTTGTTTGATGAGGATAATGCATGGGAAGGATGATTTTAACAGCTGCTTTGTGTGACACCAAGTCTATGTTACTTGTAAACTAAACAGTCCTAGGGCCCCCATTCTGAACTTAGGGACAAATAACACAATCGAGCCACGCTCATACTACTAAACCCTCTTCCAGAACAGGGTGGCTGCATCTGATCCTGGCCTGGGTTAATTCCTGAATTGTGCCCAGGAGCTGGTTGGCAGAGTAGTGGTTTGCCTGGACCAGAAGTGTGGCCAGGCATGTGCTAAAAATTTAGCAATACAGTAGGTCAAGTGCCACAGCTCGGGAACATTTGTTGTCACTGTTTAATTTCCTAGGATAGACATAGTCTAAGAGTGCAGTGTAGGTGCTTAAGAAGACAGAGGTGTGAGCATTTAATAACTATGACCTGACATTTTGGAGCAGCCCTGAATATTCTGGAAGGACTGCATGGATATTGCCCATTTACCTCTTAGTGGTTTCATGCCCACTGTGCTCTCTTTTCAAACTTCTTTTCAACTCTCCTTTATGTCACTTACTGTCCAATAATCTCACACAGTATTTAACTTAAGATGGACTTTACCACTTGATTTAGTCTGCATTTTCCATTTTTCTTGGTTACCTGGAATAAAACCATTGCTTCACTCAGGGAAACTATAGAGTGGCCTTTGTTTGTCATGCATTGTCACTCCACTCTCAGAGAGAATTTATA